GCGTGGCCAGGAGGGCGCGGGCCTCGCACTGGCGCAGGCAGTGCAGGAGGGCGGCCGGGCGGAGCGCGGTGCCCAGGAAGGCGGGCCGGGCGCCCAGCTTGGCCAGCCCGATCCAGGCCCAGACGAAGAACGGCTCGTTGCCGGCCAGCAGCGCCGCCGTCCGCCCGCCCAGCCCGGCCGTCCGCAGCGCCTGCCCGACGCGGTTGCTCTCGCGCTCCGCCCGCCCGTAGCTGAAGCTGCGGCCCTCGAAGCGCAGGAAGGGCCGGCCGGAGCCCCCCGACGCCGCCGCCTCCGCCAGCCGCCCCCAGCGCTGCGCCACGCTCGCCCGCCGGCCCAGCAGCGCCAGCCGCCCGCCCAGCGCCAGCGCCCGGCCCACGAAGCCCACGTCGGCCGCCCACGCGGGGCCGCCCCGACGCCCCGCAACCAGCACCAGCACCAGCAGCGCCAGCAGCCCCGCCAGCAGCAGCAGCGGCAGCTCCATGGGGCTGCAGGAGGGACCCCCGCCCGGGTGGGTGCGTGGGGGGAGAAGCCGCGGCAAGGAAGGGCCACCTGCGGGAAGGAGGGAGCGCGGGGGGTGGACGTGCGCACGCGAGCAAAAGGGGCTGGCTCTGTGTGTGTGTGTGTGTAAAGCAGGGGGGAGGGCACACCCGCCCCTTTACACACACACACACACTCTTGCTCCAGGGAGGGAAAGTCTTGAAAAGTTTTGCCTGCCTAAGCTTCAAACACCCCCCCCCCCCCCCCCCCCCCCCCTTTTGAAGCTTAGGCAGCCCAACTTTTCAAGAATGAAAGAGTCTTGGAGAGGGAGAGAAGGAAAGAGAAAGGAAAGGGGGAGGAGAAAGAATGAGGGAGAGAAGGAAGGAAGGAATGAGAAAGGGAGAGGGAACGAATGAGGGAAGAGAGAGAATAAGAGAGACCGAAGGAAAGAATGAAAGAGTCTTGGAGAGGCAGAGAAGGAAAGAGAAAGAATGAGGGAGAGAAGGAAAGAAGGAGAGAAAAAGGGGGAGAGAAGGAATGAGAAAGGGAGAGGGAACGAACGAGGGAAGAGAGAGAATAAGAGAGAGCAAAGGAAAGAATGAAAGAGTCTTGGAGAGGGAGAGAAGGAAAGAAAGGAAAGGGGGAGGAGAAAGAATGAGGGAGAGAAGGAAAGAATGAGGGGAGAAAGAGAAAAAAGGGGGAGAAAAAGAATGAATGAGGGAGAGAGAATAAGAGAAAAGGAAAGAGAACTGGAGAGGGAGAGAATGTGAGAAAAAAGGGGGAAAGAATGAGAAAGAAAATGAAAAATGGAGGAGGGAGGATGAAAGAGGGAGAGAGAAGAGAATGAAAGTGAGGGGAGAATGAGAAAAAGGGAAAGAAAGGGAGGGGTTGAGAGAAAGAAAGGGAGCAAAAGAGAAAATGGAGGGGGGAACATGGCACCCCAAGAAGAGACACCCCCCCTCAG